AAAAAAAAAAACAAAAACATAAGTTTAAAAGTTCTTTCAAATTGTACAAAAATAGAACATGTACTTGGGAGAAAAAAATTTATTTGGCCTTCAAATTCTTATTCTTCTTCCCACATATTTTGGACAAAGGCCAATGTATGTTTATGTGTTCTATATATGCTTTCTCCATGTAACAATAAATAAATCTTTCCGTCAACTAATGTTCACTGGTTCTGCTTTGTACCAGTTCCATTATATTATTGTTTTTCTTGAGATGATATTACGAAATTAAAACTTCTTTTTGCACTGAAAATTTTGTTATCCTTTGGGAAGCTTTCATCAACACACATTGCTATGAAAATTGATGAGAGGAGAACTTTGGTTAGTTTGCTACTCTTTCAGGTGAATTTGTTTTGCCATAACTTCAGAAACGGAATCTTATTCACAATCTTCACTATAAAATAGTCACATGAAGGGCAATGATAAAGTTTATTTCCACTAAATTTTGGGGGAAACATTAAAATAAAGTTGCCTAGGAAAGGCTTAAGCCCATTGTTTTAGCCATCATGTCAATACATCTTATTCAAGTTCTCTTCCATTTGACCCTCTACCAAGCATGAAGTGCTTCTCTAAGGATTGGCCCCTATGGATAACTCGCCCAAAGTATCTGACTCAAAAGTCTCACATGGGCTTGCACACAGCAGAGATTGTAAGAATGGTGCAGAAGCAGGCAGGGTTGCATTTTATGTCTATACAGTGGCTAACACCATGAGAAACTAGTAAGAAATAGTTCTCAGCTGGTGAATTTGAACCGTGTGCCTTTAGGATTGCAGTGCAGCTCCTTACCTCTAGACCATGAGAGCGCTGCAACTTGTGGGAGACGGGTGGACAATATTCTGTTTAACTTACTGCCTCTGAAAACCTGCAGGAGGGTCAGTTATGGGTCGATTCAGATTTAATAGTACACAACAAGTAGTACAGCATAAGCGGATTTTTTCATCTGTGGAAGAAATAACACTCTTAAGAGATGCTCTGTAAATCCTGGTGATTTACACATTGACTATGGTGATTAGGCTTAAAAAGATGACTAGAGTTTTGAGGTGTTTTGTTCTTTATATATATTTTTTAAAAAGCCAGAAAGTTATGTTGCTTTGCTTCAGTCAATATTTGAAGAATCTGTTTGCCAAAATAAGCTGTCTGTAATACTTTGAATACAAGAATGTATCTTGTCTCCACATAGGGATATTATGGTGAACTTATGGCTTTGAACTATGGTATGGAAAAAGAATATTAAGTATATCATGAACTGCCAGAAGAAAGAACAAATATGTCTTGAAACTACAGGTAGAACTCACCTTAGAAGTAAATATAGCAAGACTTCATCTCATAGACTTTGGACATGTTATCTGGAGAGACCAGTCCCTGGAGAAGGACATCATGCTTGGTATAGTAGAGGGTCAGTGAAAAAGGAGACCCCCAGTGAGAGGACTTGAACTCACTGACCAAAAACATAGAAATGATTGTAGGATGCTATAGGACTGGGTAGTATTTTGTTCTGCTGTGTATAGAATTGCTATCAGTCAGAGCTGACTCAGTGAAATGTAACAAGAAGACCAGATTCTGTTTTACATGGGAGCACTAAGAATTGACTTAACACCACTTAATAACAGCAAATTCCCTTGATAGGTAGAAGGTCCGTGGAAGAGACCTTGAATAAGATGTATTGACATGATGGTTATAACAAAACAATACATTCTGACAGGTATTCTGAAGGACTACAACACCAGGAACCTCCTTGTCTGACTCCATTCACCTAAGGTTGCTTATATGCTTATAATACTTGACTTCTCATATTATTTTCTAGTATTTAATCAAGTGACAATGTTCCGTTCACATGCTTCTCATTGTGATTAAATCAGTAGGACAAAAGGACTTAATTTGGCACTTGGTCTTGGATTTCTGAAAATAGTCCTTCTAGTTTTTAAGCAATTAAAGTGCTCAGCCAGACAACCCTTAATCATAAGTAAAAGACTAGTGTAGTAAGATCTCTATCTCACATACTTTGAACATGTCAGGAGGAACCAGTTTCTGGAGAAGGACATCTTGGTTGGTAACGTAGAAGATCATAAAAAAAGATGTTTAACAAGATGGATTGAATACAGTTGGATCCCTAACAATGGTCTTGAGCATAGCAACAATTGTGAAGATGGCACAGGATTGAGCAGTTCTGTTGTACATAGGGTTTATATGTGTCATAGTCTCTGTTGTTCCTAACAATAGGGACTATACAAGCCACACCCTGAGGTAGCAAACCTCAGGAAAGATATGATCAAGTCAATCATGTATTTTCATTGCCTTATGCATATGCAGAAAGTCTCAATGACTAAGGGAATCTGAACCGTGGAGCTTCCACTTTTGGGGTTATTAGTGTGGGTTTCTGCTTTTTGCATGTCCGGGACAGTATGGCATATCTTTGGGGACAAGGAAGGCTCATGCAGCACCTTTTTCCAGGCGTTGCTTGATGCATCTCTCCATCTTCATGCTTTCTGTCTATAGTTATCAGTGGGGTTGTTGATTCCCTTCCAGTCAAGCACGACTCATAGCGACCCTATGAACAAAAGGCCTGAAGCCCCTCTACAACTATCAACATTTATCAAAGTTCATAGAGTTTCCGGAGGCAAGTTGTTTAGGAAGTAGATGCTGCTCCTGCTTCCAAACCTGTCATAGAATGTTATTGTTTGAGTCGCCTGCAATGCATAATGACCCTACGTACAGCAACTCTGAAATCTACCCTGTCCTGAGCCAGTCTCACTAGTTCTGACAACCCATTGCTCCAGTTACCGTTTCAATCCATCTCATCCTGGGTCTCCCTCTCCTGTGCTGTCCGTCCACCATTTCGAGCACAGTGTCCTTCTCCAAGGACCAATCTCTCCTGGCCACATGCCCAAAGTAAGTGAGGTGTTGTTGTTATGTGCCATCGAGTCGTTTCCGACTCATAGCGACCCTATGCACAACAGCTCTAAACCCTGCTCTATCCTGCGCCAACCGCACCGCCTATGACACACCCATCCCGATTACCCCAGTCACCGAATCAATCCATCTCATAGAGGGTCTTCCCCTCCTGCGCTGTCCCTCCACCCTCCCAAGCATGATGTCCCTCTCCAAGGACCCGTCCCTCCTGGCAACATGTCCAAAGTATGTCAGACGAAGCCCCAGAATCCTTGCCTCCAAGGAGCAGCTTGGTTTAATCCTCTCCAAGATGAATCTGTTTGTTTTCCTGGCAGTCCATGGTACATTCAGTACCCTTCTCCAGCACCACAGCTCAAAAGCATCCACTCTCCTTCTGTCCTCCCTAGTCATTGTCCAACTCTCTGATGCATAACAAGCGATTGCAAAGACCATGACCTGTATCAGGCGCACCTTAGTCTCCAGAGAGACACTGTTGCTCCTGAGTACCTTTGAGAGGTCCCTAACAGCAGACTTTCCCATCGCAATACGCTTTTTGAGTTCCTGATTGCTGGTACCAAGAGTGTTGACTGTGGAGCCGAGCAAAGTGAAGCTGTGAACACTCTCAATCTCTTCATCATCCATCCTGACGCTGCCAATTGGTCCAGTGGCGA